AGTCCAATTTTTGGTACATTCAGAGAAATCACAAGGCTTCGTTGATAACAAAACTGGTTCTGATTGAATGTTTCGGCTCTCTTCTTTCTATTTTCTCACTTCTGAATTGAAATCCGACAGCTTTCAATTCTCTAGATATTTTTAAACCAATAAATCCATTGCTCTTTATTCGAGTCTCTTGTGGGGTACTATTACAGTATTTAGGGTAGTGATACAATGCGTTTCATAATCCTTTGAACATCTTTGAAAATGAAGAGATGGAGAACAGCTACTGGGTTAAAGTGTTCTCAGGTTTTTTTTTTAAACTTTGTTAACGCATAGTTTTATTCAAAAGAATCTTTGAATGCCATTTTGAATGAGAAGATCAAAATTCTTAATTCTAATCATTTGGAAAATCTTCTCGAAAGGCTGACCTAACAAAAAGTGTAACACTTTCCTTTTCACTTCTTTCCTTTTTGACATTTGACATTTCACGAGAAGATTTAATAAAATTTTCCTCTGAATCAGCACAAATCGAGTCTATTGGAGAAAAATGCTCCAGGAAAAACAAATTTAATGAAACAACAGCTATAGTAACATGAAAACGTTTTCTAAACCTTGTGAATGTCAAAAATTTTCAAAATTTTCAAAACAATAAGTTCAAAACAATAACTACAATAAGTTTCTCTCTAGTTTTTATCTAAAATAGTTTTTTCTGCTTTGTGAAGGTCAAAAGGGATAGCAAAATAGCTAAAACTAAGTAGCTTGAGTAAAAAAAAACAGAGATTTCTTCGTCTTCTTTTTATTAAACGAATTTTATGGAAAATTTTATGATAGCTTCCAAATAGCTTCCAAATAATTCGATTTCCTTCATATCCTTCTTTCATTTGCTTCAATGTTCTTCAAAAAATGCTTCAAATTTGCTCATTTGCTTCAAAAAAACGTCACTTCTTAAATACAGCCAGCTTTAAAGATAAAATATCTAATACCACTTCTTTTAAAGATCAAAATGTTTAAGATCAAAATGTTTAAGAGCAAAATGTTTAAAGAGCAAAATGTTTAAAGAGCAAAATGTTTAAAGTAGACTTCGGAAAACAAAACTTAACCAAAACCAAAACCACCAAAACCACCAAAACCAAAACCACCAAAGCCATAACAAAACCAAAACCAAAACAAACCAAAACAGATCAAAACCAAAACCAAAACTAACCAAAACTCGCCAATATCTCGCGACTGGGAGGAGCTAGCGAAAATCTGTTTGCAGATTTGAAATCAGCATCCAAAAATCTATCCCATAGGCTATTTTTTGTTTCGAAATTTCGAGGTCGTGTTTTGGTCCTTTTTTCGGCCGCGAGATTTTGGGGAGTGAGAAAAAGTGAAAGGCAAATTTGCATTTTACAATTTTAAATTTATATGCAAATTGAGTTTTGGTTTGTTTTGGTGTTTTGGTTTTGGTTTTGGTTTTGGTTTTGTTTACCGAACTCTAGTTTAAAGATCAAAATGTCTAATAATACTTGAAACTTTAATCTTTATTCCTAATCACCAAGCTTTTACTCATTAAATGAAGAAAATCTGGTGAAATCGTTGAAGCGAGTAAATCAAAGAGTGGTCCTCCTTGGGGATTTTCCTTTCACCCAACTCCTAATTAAACGATTTGTCCCAAGATCCCCCCACTTAGATGCAAAAGAAATTGAGTGAGCCAAGGCAGGTGGTCGATCATTGGAAAGCACACAAAAAATTAACTGCTTTTGTGCGCGTTAAGCGTGAAATTTTTTTGGGGAATACGGTTGGACTTGAGAAGTGTTTGAGAGATAGAAATTTATTGGTAGATAGAATCGGTTTTGGGTTGTCTCTTGGCACTTTGGCGCTTTACTTTATATAAACTGAACTTATTAATAATCCTTTTTACACAAATCGGCACTCATCTGAAGTTAGATTCCGGTTGAAGTGCGATTTTAAGAGACTGGAGCGGAAGCGGTGCGGCGCGCTTTTTAAAGCGTGGATGCGCTACCGTACCCCACACAAAAGTCCCTTTTTGCCATTCTTTTCATTTTCCTTCGTTCCACGAAATCGTAAACTTTGTCCGTCTTTTTTGCCAAGTCCCGCTAAGTTTTCTTCCTCCTTCGTAATGTTTTTATCGATCTTTTATGTTTTGTAGCGCGTTTTTAAAGTACTCTCTCCCCTTTTTATACTCTTTGCCCATCGTTTGTCGTTTAAAATTCTAATACGGCTTTATTTCGTTTTCTTTTCGGCTCCTTTCAATCCATTGTTCTGAATTCGCTCATACATGCCGTATAAACTAAACTTAACCAATTCCTTTTAACTAAAGTGCAAATCTAAATAATCTGCCATGGCGCGATCTTTTTGTTATTTCCTCTTGGGTTTCGTGGTTTTCTTTTTTTTTTGGTTTTAATCATTTTAGAAAATGGTTGGTAAGTTTAAAGGTGTTAGGCAAGAGAGTTAGTTACTAACTCTGAGCTGGGTCCTAGATTCTCATTGCTTCGGCTCTCATGCTCCAGCTATGACACATTATGATTAGCTGCAACTCTGGATTACAACTATGTCCAAATTCTATTAAAGCTATACTAGATGCTTTTAGAAAATTACCGAACACACTCCGTTCAGAATTTTCTTTGTTTACTCGTTTCCTTTTTCGTACATATGTCGTCGTAGTGTTGACATGATAATAGTGGAATGACGGATCGGAAGAGATGAGGTAATGAGATGGTGAATGGGGAAGGGAAAGGCAATGAAAAGAGAAATGAACAGAAGGAGCTCAAAATATAGAAATGGAGAAGAGTACGAGGGATTGGGTGAAAGATCGGCTTTCCAATACTAGATGGAGAGATCAAGTATTTTGAGCTCAAAATAGAGCTTATGGTTCTTGTGCTTTCAATTTTTGGTGGATTTTCATGAAAAGCTTCAGATTCTAGGCTAATAAGAGCCCAAAAAGATGCATCTACTTGTACTTGCTTTGTACTTGTACTTGCTTTGCACCTGTACTTGCTTTGCACTTGTACTTGCTTTGCACTTGTACTTGCTTTGTACTTGTACGTACAGGTACTTAGATTTTATGATCTTGTCAGTAACTATCTGGGTCCTAGATTCTCATTGTATTGCGCCATTGGCTTGCTTTTGAAAATCAAAGAGACAACTTGAACACTCAAGTTATCCACTCAACTATCTTCCTCACCTCAGCCTCTGCAGAATTTTTATGACCAACCCCAAGGACAGTATATTATACAAATTCTCACCTCTCACCTCTTACCCAGCGATTCTCTCAAAGACTTTTTAGTGTTTATGGGAAAGACTCATAAATTTCGGCCTCGGAATTATGATAGCTGAGAGTGGGGGTGATGGATTCTCTGATATCCAATCAAAGGGGGTAATTAGGGTTTACGAACCTCGATCATCCAATCCACCACCTCCCGCACATGGACGTGTTTTGTCTCTTATCTCAGAAATGGAATAGTGATATCAGCCTCGGGTTTAACATTGATTGGGTAAACAGTTTGACAAACAATCGAGAGAGCTTACATCAATATGTTCATCGAAGAAAATCGCAATATCTTAAATTAGCAGCATGCTATTGTTCGAATTCTTTTTTATTGAAAAGAGCGCATCAAAAAATTCTAGATTCAAATTGCTTAACATTTTTGCACAGAGAAAAAACTCAAAAACAAAAAACTCAAGTATCAAAACGACCGTTTATCATCAATACCTTCACTTTAATTTTTATGAATCTTTTTCTATCTCCCTTTTTTACCACAATAATTTTATAGTTTAGAAAATGACAAGAGGAACCAAGCTTTTTAACTACGGAAAAGGCGAAATCGGCGAAAAAGGCGACACACTCCATGGTTAGGAAGAGTCAAACCGCTCGATCGCCAAGCAAACCAAAAGCAAATCGTGTTTTGTCTCTTATCCCAGAAATGGAATAATGATATCAGCCTCGGGTTTAACATTGATTAGGTAAACAGTTTGGCAAACAATCCAGAGAGCTTACGTTCATCGAAGAAAAGCGCAATATCTTAAATTAGAAGCCTGCTACTTTTCGAATTCTTTTTTATTGAAAAGAGCTCATCAAAAATTCTAGATTCAAATTGCCTTCACTTTAATTTTTATGAATCTTTTTCTATCTCCCTTTTTTACCACAATAATTTTATAATTTTTAGAACATGACAAGGGGAACCAAGCTTTCTAACTACGAAAAAGGCGAAGTCGACACTTCCAATACGGTTCCTATGCGGTTAGGAAGAGTCAAACCACTCGATCGCCAAGCAAATCAAAAGAACACTTTCGGTGAACAATTATTTGAAAGATCCCGCTGGATATGGCACAAAGGAACACACTAACTACAAGAAGAAGCTGAGCGATCGAGATGTTCGACAGATCGCCAATACGATCTCTTTGAGATCATTTTTTTGATAAAAATTCTAAAATTTTAACGATTTTCAATTAATCACATTTCCTTATGCAATTTAAAAGCGATAGATCTTGAAAAAATAAGATTTTCTTGTTCTTTAGTGGCTTTTCTGAATGCCCAAAATCGTTCAAGTGAAAACAGATCATGTTAGGTGGGTTTTGGTAACATTTCTCAAGAATTTTTACACTTAAACTGCGTTGAGCATGTGAAATTTCGTTCATTAACATAATAAATTCAATCTCAACGAGATTTTGATAAGATTGCTCTCAAAAATCTCATAAATGAGTAGTGTGCCAAGCGAAATTCGACTCTCAACTTTGAAAGGGCATATAAAAAAGTTAAAAGCTTGAATCGATTGGATAATGGGCAGGAGAGACAGGAGACATACCTAAGATTTATCTCCAGAAAAATCAGAACGTTTGACCCAATTTTGGCCAAACTAGGTTCTCCGAAGTGTGGTGCTATGATTGTGAGCCACCCTGTCCTTTTAGAATGATAAGCTAACCGATTAAACTTGAAGCTAATTTGATTTCTAATGCTAACATTTGCTCAAGCTCAATTTTGCTCAATCAACCCTGCAATCTCCTCTGGATTAATGGTGTTAATTCAAGGAGTCAAGGATCTCATTAAGGAGAAAATCCGATTGAGTCGAGTAGGTGGCGGCACATATGATCCATCAAAAGACAAGGAAATCATAAGTGGATGTCGCTGAAGGGGATGGGGAAAAGACATAGCCTTATCTAATCTCCAGAGTAAAGAAAATTTATTCAAAAGAATATGTAGTCAAAAGAATATGTAAATTGTATTTAAAGCTGATAGAGATGTTATAAAAGTTTTAACCTTTTCAGCTTTCAGAATTAGCTTCTTGACCTAAAAAATTCAGCTTTAATAATAGTCATTGTAGAGCAAAAGACAGCAAAAACAAATCCAATAGACAATTTTGTTTATCCTTTTCACACCTCATTCTTTGTTCAACAATATGGAATTAATTGGTGCAAGCACTCTTTTTTTTACGCGCTGTAGTTGGTAGAAAATTACGGGTTGTGCGAGGTTTGTATGGGTTTTTGGGGGGAGATGGGTTGAATTTGACAGGTGGAAAAAAACAAAAAAACAATTGCTCCTTCTATGGGTCTTGTTCCATAGAAGGACTTGTTCACTCATCCAGGAAATGCTGAAAAAAACAAAGAATTTGATTGAACCACACAATTCTGAGAAAATCGCAGAGAAAAAAAATCTTAAGTCAGACGCACATCCGCGCGAAATACAGTCATGGACAAAAGTCTTGGCGGGTCCTGGGTGGCAACTTTCAAACGCAAATTTAGAAACCTTCCCGAGAGGCTATAAAAAAGTTGTCACAAGTATTTTTGAGCATTTTTACTCTATTTTTAGCTATGACCAAGCATTGAACTCGAAAGTTTATTTTAGACAACAAAAATAAGCGTCAAAGACAAAAAGGTCACAAAAACAATGGACAAAAGCCTTGGCGGCACATACATAGAGACGAAAAATTCAATATTTTGTTGGTCCGCCTTTAGCTGCAATGACCGCTTGGAGCCTCCGGGGCATACTGTGAACTAGATCGCGTAAAATTTGTGGCGCAATTGTCACTCAAACTGCGGTCGCAAAAGGAAGAAATTTGTTCTCCAGGATCGTCTTGTAGCGCTAGGCATCAAGAGTCGAGTTGAGAAGGACCAGTGGACCCGGTGAACTTCTTGCCATGGCTCCTAAAAAACAAGATTAATATACATAACAAGAGAGAGTCTCTTACCCCATACCATGACCGCTTCACCACCAAAGTTCACCGTAGTTACTCGAAAGAGACTCTAAATACTTGCGTCCGAGTTGTTGCCACCCAGGACCCGCCAAGACTTTTGTCCATGACTGTAAAAGTCTAAAATTCAAATTCAACTCTTCTTGTCGGCTTAGTTTGCGAGTGCTGATGATCAATTAAAGTATTTTTTTTGTTATAATCATGTTCTAACAGTTCTAACAGCTCTAACAGCTAGTAAATAAACAAAAAAGAATAAGTTTCAATAACACCTTTTCTTTGAAACTTTAAACATTGAAAATGACGCAAATCTCGATTTTAACTCTTGACTTCAGGGTGATATTTCACGAGCTGAAATATCACTCCAAAGTTAAACAGTATACAGTGAAAGTTATACAAAACCCTTAGCAACTATGGTGCATCAACTATTTTTAAAAGATTTAAAACAAAAAGAACGGCATTTTGATATTTCAGGAAAAACTAGTAGCATTTCGAACCCGTTGAGTCCTAATCACTCAGTCGGTGCTTTATAGGGTGCGCAAGCTACCGTAGCCTACGTGCTTTAACAACAACTTTCACAACTTGTGTTTTACTTTCGGAAATCACTATTCTCTTGTTTCTGCTTCTTTTTCTTCCGTAGATCATCAATACGGCCAAAGTTAAGTTTTTTTATTGATTTTATGAGCAGACGATTTTGTTTAGAAAAACAACTTGAACGGACGACCTGGACAAATAGAACTCGGCGCATCAAGGCAGCAATTGGGTGGTGTTTACTTTTACGTTTAAGCTCAAATTTAGTAGCATTTCGAATGCGTTGAGAAGAAATAAGCGAATAGTGATTTCCAAAAGTAAAACACAAGTATTTCTTGTGAAAATTTTGCACTTAAGCTTGCACAAACTACCTACGCGCTGTAGGTACACTACTGGACAATGAAATATCATATTTGAAAAAACGATCGTCACTTTCGCGCGTCTGTAACTCCCTTGTCTTTACCGTATTTCTAAATATTAATATTATCATTGTGTAGCCCTTGAAAAGAGCTTTCAGAAATAAATAACACTAATAGTTTAAACTCAAAGACAATGGAGTCACAGAAGCGCGAAAATGACGATCGTTTTTCAAATATGATATTTCATTGTCCAGTACTATAGCTTACGCACCGTATAAAGCACCGACTGGGCAATTTGGACTCAACGCGTTTGAAATGCTACTAGTTTTACCTGAAATATCAAAATACCGTTCTTTTTGTTTCAAATCTTTTAAAAATAGTTTGATCACCATAGTGCTAATGGTTTCGATAACTTTCACTGTATACTGTTTACTTTGGAGTGATATTTCAGCTCGTGAAATATCACTACAAAGTCAAGAGTTAAAATCGAGATTTGCGTCCTTTTGAATGTTTAAAGTTTCAAAGAAAAAGTGATCATCAGCACTCGCAAACTAAGCCGAAAAGAAGAGTCGAATTTCAGATTTTTACCTTTTTATAAAAGTCCATTTTTAGAAAAATCTACAAGACGAAAACTATCACTTTTTGAATCAGCGCATTTTTTTTGGTCTAAAAACGCAAATGCCAGTGATTTTTAACAGAGAATGCATTTTCGCGCGAACGTAAGATGCACTTTTCTCCCTGTTTAGCTGGTGAATGTAGAATTTGTAGCAAAAATATAGCCAATTTTGAGCGAAATATAAACAAGTAAAATTGTTTAGATTATTGAAACAAGTCAAATTTTAATAGCTTATTCGGGATGTAATTTAAAACAGCGCCGTCAAATTTCTCAAAATCCAAAAAACCAAGCCGGCTCAAGTTTTAGACCAAAAAATTCCTTGCGTTCTTGGCTACATGATAGGTGAAACAATTTCTTAAAAAAGTTAATTTTTCAGAATTTTCACTTTTTTTTGTGGTTTTTATGGATTATTATAAGAAATTTGAGGGCGCTGTTTTGAATCTTTTCTGTTATGGCGCTGTTTTAACTAAATCCACTTTGAACAACCCTGGCTTTCCTTTGGCCTTGTACTCTTGATTCAGATGTTTTCTAAGAAACACAAAGAGTGCACACAAGGAACACCTCGCCAGTCATTTACAAAGGGATTTCTCTTTTGCTTTGTAAATGGTACAAAAGAAAGATTTTTTTGTGAGCTGTGAATTTGTTTTCGGGGTCGGAAAGTCGATGCACAGTTCCAAGTCAAACCAAAACCAACTAATTGAATCTTTTCATAGGCTTCATCGAATTGTCATGCTTGGCCCACCATTGTTCACAATGTTTTGGGTAGTTGACTGTAAGTCAAACTGCTTTCTACCCTTTTCTCCATACAAAGTACATAGCACACCAAATGACGTCTCCCTTCCATACCCTTTGCACATTCAAAAATTTTCTGTCGTAAATCTGTGCAGAAAGTGATAGACTTATCAGCAGCTTTAGCCCAAAATAATTGCTTTACCTTTTTCTATAACAAAATTATTTCCAGATAAGAGTGAAGTTTTGAGCACTTCTCCATCCGACCCGAAGCGGCTCATCAATGTCCTCGGAGACATTAAAGCAATTGTTTCTAGTACAAAGGTGGGGCTTTAATTTAGATAATAAAAGTTATTGATTTTAGATATAGATAGTCAACAAAAATGCCACATATTCCGACTGGAGAGAAGAGTCCCTTGAATCCCCAACAGATCGCCCTCAAATATTTCTTGTCTTGCTCAGCTGCGTTGGTTGCGGAAACTGGTGAGAATACTTATCGTAAATACTCTAATAGGGCGCCACCCCCATAATTACAGCCTTACAATAGCGTAATCTAACTTTGAACGTCCTGTTCTCCGCGTTGCTTCATCTTACAGTGTGCGCTTGGGTGTCAAATGATTGCCCTTGGAATCTAGTATTTTTTGGTATCAAAAGTGTAGGTGGGGAAAATCTGGGGGCTGAGAAAAAAAGGATTTTCTAAAAAGAAGTTAGATTACACGACTGTACAAGGGGGTGGCATTCTATTAGAGTATTTAGAGTATATTAAGAAGTTTGTTTAAAGTTTAAAGAAAATTTACCGGGTTAAACTCCATCTGGTATCAGGTCCAACTCAATGACATTTCAGGCTAGATTTAGTTTTTGACTGGCTTAGCTGGGACAACTGATACATTTTGACCCAGGCCTTTATGTTTAACCTAAGTAACTCTAATTCAATAATGATCATTTGTGGTAAAATAGTTAAGTATTGAATCCGCATATCATTTTTTAAAATATAAACCGGATAACTCAATTGTTTTCTTTAGTTACTTACCCACTGGATATCACAAAGACGAGGCTCCAAATTGTGCGCCATGGCCCGCATGGACACACGAGTAAAGCGACCGGAATGCTCAGAGTCACATACGATATTGGTATGTTTTGGGAAAAGAGTACCGTAAATACTCTAATAGAAACCCCCCTATAGGAGCGTCACGTGATCTAAGCCTCAAAGAACCATTCATATCTCGACACCAGTACGTTTTTTTCTGCGCGCTTAGGTATCAATTAAAGTAGAGAGAATGGGTGATTTTTTTTTCAGATCTAATACATATTTCTAGCATTAACCAGCGCTTAGAACAAAATGATTGAAAAGTTTAAAAAAAGAGCTGATTTTTCAACACTTCAATCATTTTGTTCTAAGCGCTGGTTAATTCTAAAAAATATCTGTTATATAAAAAAACACCCATTCTCTCTACTTTAATTTGGTACTAAGGCGAACAGAAACAAATGCACTGGTGTCGAGATATGAGCGTTTGTTTGAGAGTAAACTTAATGCTTTGAGTGACTTAATTTAAACTTAACGCGATCCTCCTATATGGGGCTTCTATTAGAGTATTTACGGTATTCAAGCGCTAAAACAACAATCAGCTAAACTTTCAACATGAATGCTTTCAGTCAAAAACGAGGGAGCGATGAGCTTGTGGCGAGGAGTGGCGCCGGCGATCTACAGGCATTATGGTTGGTCTGAACGTTAATTTTAGCCAGATACTTACTTGTAAAATTCTAATAATGATAAGGATAGTTAACTTTTAAAAATCAAGCATGCAATTCATCTTTTAATTTTATTTTAGTGTACACGGGTATTCGAATGGGTGCTTACGAGTTCATGCGCGCCGAGTGGTACAATGAGGAAAAGGAGGCCCAGTTCCCTGTTTGGTGAGTAAATTGAGCTTTATTGCGTTTAAATAGATAAGTTTTCCTTGGTTTTCATAGAATCATATGCCATTTTTAGGAAATCGGCCATATGCGGCCTCGTTTCTGGCGCCGTCGCTCAATTCTTTGCGAGTCCCACCGATTTGGTGAAGGTTCAAATGCAGATGGAAGGACTACGGAAATTAGCGAATTTACCGCCACGGTATGCAAGTATTTTTCATGAGCAATTCAGTCAGGTGTGCTGAATTAAGCGAACAAGATGTTAACGCTAACAGAAACAAGGTCTAGTCTGATTTTTTTGCTAGTAAAATTGTCAAAGCCATCATGGACCCTTACAATTAGAAGGATACCGATTGTATAAATTTATTGACGACATATAAGTGGGTGACTTCCAGATACACAAACACTTGGGACGCATTCCGATCAGTCTACCGATCTCATGGATTCTTCGGTTTATGGATGGGATGGGTGCCGAATTGTCAACGAGCCGCTCTACTCAATATGGCTGGTTAGTATTATACAGTGCCGGACAAAATTATAGGACCTTTACATTGGAAATTTAAAAAGACTGGAATGTAAAAGTAGTTTAACAGAAGATATGCTACTGAAGCAAAGTTTTTCAGGTGTAAAAAACTTCAAAGATTATATTTCAACAGTTTACAAAAACTTTCATGTCTCCTCCTTGAAGAATTACAGACCTAAGAAGAAAAAAAAAACCCAAAACTTCCTACATTTTTCTCAACATTTTTGGTCTTTAGGTCTGTAATTTTTCAAGGAGGAAACATTAAAGTTTTTGTAAATTGTAGAAATAATCTTTGAAGTTTTTTACACCTGAAAAACTTGGCTTCAGTAGCATATCTTCTGTTAAACTACTTTTACATTCCAGTCTTTTTAAATTTCCAATGTAAAGGTCCTATAATTTTGTCCGGCAAAGTTTGTTAAGAAAAAATTTGAAAAAAAGAAGTCCGTGCTCTTTGTTTACTTTGAGTGATACTACTTTAGATTTATGAAAAAATAATAACTTAACTTTGGACTTTTGCTTAATTTTCAGAATGGACTGGTCGTTTTTCCTCTAAAAACTCTTGGGCCTATAATTTTGTCCGGCACTGTATATGCAACTTTGTGTTGAAGTTCAAAATCACTTCCTGGGTTTCCCTAGAAGCCTGTTAATGAAACATTTAAACACATATAAACACGCACCTCAAGTGCAATCAATTCGATTTCAATTACAACCTTTTCAGACTTGGCCACGTACGATCGAGCAAAGCACTGGCTTATCCAGAATGCTGGAATGAAGGACAATCTATTGACGCATGGGATATCGAGTGCCTGTTCTGGTAAGCTTACAAATCTTTGTTTAAAAACCAAAACTGGATCCTAATAGTAAGCCAAATTTTGGTGACTTTTTAAATTTCAGGTCTAATGGCTGCAATTGTAAGCACACCGGCAGACGTGGTGAAAACGAGAATGATGGATCAAATACGACATCTGCATGATCACGACAGGTATTGAAGGCTGACTTTTATACAATTGAGAACTATTTTTGTTTTAGTTCCTCTGGAAAGCCATCAAAAATCCACCGTGGAAGCATCGATTGCTTGATGCACATTGTGCGCAAAGAGGGCTTCTGGGCGCTTTATCGAGGATTTGTTCCGACTTACGTGAGAATGGTTGGTTTCCCATTGACGTATAAAAGAAAATCGGGTTTTTTTTATGAAATATAGGAAAATTAGGTTTACAATTAGTCAGCTGGATTGCGGTAGCTTTGCTAAAGTGCGCTTTTCAAGCTCAAAAGCACCGTAATTTTTGATAGCCGAAAGACTAAAAGAGGGAGTTACTTTACTTATTATTTTCACAGTTTATTCATTCCGATCAATGGTCTAAAAGACTAATTTGTTTAAATTGTATAATTATTCACAATGCTCTAATTGCCAGCGAACTGCCATGTCAGCAATAAATTTTAAAGGAATTGCTACCCTAAATCTACTATATATAAAATAGCAGTGTCTGTTTGTCTGTACGGGCAAAATGAGCACCTAAAGAATACCGCTAAACGGATTATTCTGAAATTTTAGTTGTAGACCTAACTTTTGTGCGCTATCTTTTCTATTTTGCAACAAAATAGGTTTCATTCGAAGAAACGGCCCAAATCGCATCATCGGATCTTGTCGTTTTTGAACACTTGACTTCTAGCTGTTTTGACCAATAAAGCTAAAAGCTCTTTAGAAAACCTTAGAACATATTGTAGTTGTGCCATTAAAAAAAATTTTAAGAAAAAAGTTGAGTGAAACACCCGAGAATCGAACCGTGTGGGCCGTAGACAAGCGCGATCCCGACTGCGCCACGGCGATTCAAAACATCCAGCTAGAAAAACCCGCTGTTAGGCGTTAGACTATTCGACTGTACGCCCATCATTATCGGGGAGGCGTTCTGCTAGGGTATTTATGGTAGATATAAAAATAATTTTCAGGCTCCCTGGTCGCTCACGTTTTGGATCTCGTACGAGAAGATCCGATGGTTGACGGGAGCGCCGAGCTTTTAGAGAAACCAGAAACCTCCACGAGAGCTGTACTTACTGATACTTTAGTGCCAAATAGAATGAGTACTGTAGCTTTAAAAGTACCATACCATTTCTATTTTGCACTAGCTTTATCATGAAGCAAGTTTACCAATTAGCATTGTCATTGACCATTGGCCACTCTTTTAATTCTAATCTCAGGTCATTTTAGGCAAGTGTACTTAGGCTTTTGAAGAAATTTACTTACTATTTGAATTTTATAGATTTTGGGTTAGTTTGGATCAATTTAAAGTGCCAAATCATTAGGTTGATCAATTTTTGTTTGTCTCATTTATCTCGCAGTTTTGGTGTTGTGATTATCGTACTTCCAGGTTCTAGCCGAAAAGCTTAGGTTTTTTTAAAAGATTTATAGGATTTTTCTATTTTCCTTATTTTTATGCCAAGTATTTTTCAGCTCACAATGTTATTGCCAAAAAATTCTAGTCTTTTTTGATCGAGTGAATAAATTTTTGATTCAAAAATTATGCATTCATCAAAGATTCCAATCGGTATGAGAAGATCTTATTTATTTTGTGAATGTAAAAAGTTTTAAAGTACTGTAAAGCTGTGGTTTTAATCTTTCAAATACATACCTTCAATAAAATCTGTTAGAAGTTTGGAAGTCATACTAATGTAATGGAATATTGCTTTAGTGATGAAAGAACAAGAAAATGAGACCAAATCAGAGAGTGGAAGCCCGAAAAGACCGGTAAAACTAAAGTTGAAACTCCCTTCACGACAATCGACCTTACACAAAAACGAACATATCGACAAGGATAACATTTTCCCGCAACAAATGTAAGTTAGTAGCTTTTGAAGGTCTACTTCAAATATAACCACAAAAGTTTCTTGAAAAAGTTCCACAAAAGTAAACGTAACTTTTTGTGCGCTATCTTTTCTATTTTGCATCAAAATAGGTTTCATTCGAAGAAACGGTCCAAATCGCATGATTTTTATCGTTTTTGAATACTCGGTTTATTACTAATGAAAAACCTTTAAAACAAAGCTTTTCAGAAACTTTCAAAAGTCAGTTGCAAGAGAAATGATTGGGCTATTCAATGAAAAAAAAACCGTATTTTATTTGGTAGCTTGAGACTTATTCAAGTAGAAAATGAATTTGGGAAAAAGACTTAGTACTCAACCTAATACTTAAAAAGTTACAAGTGCCTAACTTTTATAAGCTATAGTGAGTTTTGACAAAAAGCACGGTAAACAAATTAATGAACTTGACCTATTCTAAAAATAAATGGAATAGTACTGAACTCAACGAATAAAAAAGGGTTGACCCAATAAACTCGAAAATTTCAGCCTTCGGTACCCGCCATTCGAGGTGCGATTCGTTGGAGAGGGTCTCTTACAAGCTTACAACAGGGATAGGCTTGACTTTTTGCAGGTAATCAATAAAATTTTAAAGAGAATGAATAATTGTTCAAAGATTTCACCATTCTAATGAAAAATTTTTAGGCATCAAATAGTGAACAGTTGGAGAACGCGCGTCTCCTTTGCTCGTTTCCCCTCAAAAATGAGTTCGATGATAAAAAGGTAGAAAATTTAGCAAAAATCGGACTTCTATTAAATACTTTATACAATGAATTTTAATATTTTGTGAAATTTTCAGAGCCGTGTCACTTCTCAAACTTTTCTCGAGCTTTCCGCTCTGTCAGCGACGGGGTTTTTCGATGGAAGTGTTCGTGTAACCGTTCCACTTATTCAAAAAGACGTGGAAGGACAATGGTTTGGAGATAAAGATAAAAATGATTACAGATTCTTTCAGGAGATCAATCATCGATCATATTTGATACGCGGTGATGCAGAAAGAAGTCCGGTACTTGATGCGATGATAAATCCGGTGGAAACCTGTTGGGTGGTGGTGACGAGATATCGGTAAGTGATAAAAGAAAAGCAATACCTGATTGAATCTACATATCAAATAGTTATTACCGTATTTATTCTAATAGAAGACCAGTCTTTAATAGAAGATCAGTCTCTAATAGAAGATCAGTCTCTAATAGAAGACCACCCTCCCTGATTCCTCAAAATCGGGACTTTCCAGGACTTCTTTTTAGCCAAAGTTATAGATATGGCTCCAGATAGATGTATTTTAGCTTTAGTAGTAAAATTGGAAACGTAGTTTTTGAAAAAAATTGGTCCCCCACATGGTTTTTTTTGGAAGATTTTCTATGGGGTCCAGGCAAGGAAATAATTTCACTTTCAAACACGTTTTTTGACATGTTTTGAGCCAAGGGCTATTGTTTAAAATAGTTTTTAACAATTTTGAAATTTTTGAGTCATGTGGGGGAGCCGTTACCGACTTTTTCGGCCGATTTTGTCTGGTTGAAAAATAGAAGACTTCGATTAGAAATAAATACGGTAGTTACGCGTGAGTACATGATCAACAAATAAAAAAGAACTGAGCACTAAAACTTCTGATGTGCAAATGATTGTGCAGAACTGAGTAATTCAGTTAGAGACTTGATCAGGCCCTTTAAAGATAGCTTTCAAACGCTTACTATAAGTAGATAAACAGTGTTTTGAAAGAACAATATTTGAAGAAAATTTCAATGTAATTTTTGAATCATTCTTATTGTTAGAAGCTGAGAGTTGGATTAGAATAGAACGCTCTTTGAGATCATTGTTAGAAGCTGACAGTTGAATTAGAATAGAACGCCAAATAAAGCCAAAAACTCTTCTTAACTTACTGAACTTTTTCTATCGTTTTTCAGGCCTCTAAAAGACGATATCGTCATCTCTGCCTATGATTTGGCGTCACAAAATGAGGAAACGCAAGAAACGAAGCTTCTCTTCTCAGTTGTGACAAAAGAAAAACACGTTGGAACAACTTGGTTTTAGTAAGTATTGAAAAAAACAATTTAATTCGACCTTAACAATAGTAAAATTTAGTAGCTAATCTAAACAAAGCTAATTTTAGTGACAATCCGGACATGCTCCTATTGGTGACATCAAGAACGATTCGGCTCTTTGAGATCAGTGCTTCGTCGACACCGATTGGGATTCTGTATGTCGTGAATTGCGGTAAGAATTTGATCAAAACAAAGTGTTTTTATCTTAAAAACTAGAGTTGAAAGCGATTTGTGCAAATCTTCATCGTCCAACAGCGTTCGCTTGTCTCACCACCGATTCGGTGCTGATTTTCGATCGAAGGCTTCTCTGGTGTCCCATATCAATTGTCAATATTAGTCCACAAGTGAGTTTAGATGGGAACTATTTATCAAGAATTGGTTTCGGAATCGAATTTGAAAAGTTTTCGAAATTTTAAACTGAATAATTTGGCCAATTTTCGCCGAGCGCATTTTTCTAAACTACCCAATCATTTAGAAAAATTCAAATCCGATTCAAGATATTATAGTATTTTAGTTTATTTAATAAGCTATCAGAATATTTCAACAACAAGAAATTTAGTGCCAACACCCATTGAGCACGTCGTTCCGAATCCGTTTCAATCCGATGCGAGCCGATGAGCTGGTCGTCTATGTTGAAGGAGCCGAAGCAATGGCTCGCGTCTTTATCTCATCACCCGGAGATCTTCACTTTTTGGTATTCGATTAATATTTATATTTATCTACAGTAGGACCTCGTTTGTAAGCTACTAATAGAATGCTTTACTTTCAATGTTAGTTCACCAAAGAGTTTCAAATATTGGGTTGTTCAGTTATGAATGCGCGTTTTTTACTATTTTGTAAATTTCTCAAGATACCGAAATCAAGAAAAAGATATATATGAGTATTATTCGAAAGCTGAAGATCTCCTCTACATTTTGATATAAAAAAGTTTTTGAATTTGTTCAGCTTTTGGGCAAATTGACTACACACAGAAGAAGAGGTGGCCAAAAAATGGAAGGGTGCCTTTGGATCAAGTTTTGGCTCCGCTCAAATTGAGTTAACCGTTTGATGTTTGGCCAATAGATATATCAATACAATTTTTTTTAAAAATATAACAATTTCAGAGCATCTTTACTTTTCTTTTCTTTTCTGGGCGGTTATTTTACACCATAAAACTTGAGGAATAGCTAAGCTGGAACGGGTTTTTTCGAAAACGACCTCTCCCTTTGTGCAGTCAATTTCCCAAAAAGTTGAATCAATTCAAAAACTTTTGATATCAAAATTTAGAGGAGACCTTCAGCTTTCGAATGATATATAACACTCATAGACATCTGTTCGGTATCTTGAGAAATTTAAAATAGAAAAAAGCGCATTCATAACTGGACAACCTAATATAAACTATTGAAGTTCTAGAATTCGTTTACTAAAGTCAGCTAGGAACTTGGTGTTGGGTTCGGGAGTATAAAATAGCGGCGTCTTTGAACGAACTTTTGAAAAAAAACTAAACCATAACTTTTTCTCAGATTTTTCTCGAATAACAATTGAATTTTCGTTGATTTCATCCCAATTACGCCGAAATTTCATCCCAATTTGATGCACAGTTTTTGAGAAATGAGAGAGGATGTGTTGAAAAGTCGCCTAAGTTAGTTTTTGTCTAATTTTCCCTTAAAATTCAAACCACTAAAAATTTGCAACAATTTGCTAGATTTGAAAACTGTTTAAGCCAAGATTTTTGGACAAACTTGTTAACCAAAATAAATGTAAAATTAAAATTTTGACCAAAATTCGTTGACCAAAAATTTTCGAATAAGAACTTGGCACTTTTTGAGAATACCGGAGATATTTTTGAGGATACTATTCCCAAAACTCAGTCACGTCTTTTTTCAATCTTTAACTTTTATTATCAAACTTGATTTATATCTTTAAATCTTTATATCCTAAGGAACTTTAAAGGAACTAAATAGGAACTAAATAGGAACTAAATAGGAACTAAATAGGAACTAAATAGGAACTAAATTGGAACTAAATAGGAACTAAATAGGAACTAAATTGGAACTAAATAGGAACTAAATAGGAACTAAATAGAACTAAATGGAACTAAATAGGAACAATAGGAACTAATAAGAACTAAATTGGACATAGAACAATAGGAAAATAGGACAAGACTAGACAAGAACTAACAGGAACTAATGGAACTAAATTGGAACCAAATTGGACTAAATAGGAACTAAAGGAACAAATAGGAACTAATAGGAACAAATTGACTAATAGGAACTATAAAGGAACTTTAGAGAAACTAAATATAGCCGTTTTAACTGGATGCTAATCGAGTATTTTTCCTACAAACATCGTCACGTTATAGCCAAAAATTGACCTTTGCCACATCCATCCCCATTTATTAAAAACTGCATCAGATTGGGATGGCGATGGCATCAGATTGGCGTATAATCAACAAAGCTTCAATTGTTATTAGAAGAAAATTTGAGAAAAAGTTATGGTTTAGTTTTTGTTCAAAAGTTCGTCCGATAACGCCGCCATTTCATACTCCCCAACTCAATAATTTGCCAATGGTTCCAATTTGATTCCAATATGGTTCGGATATGGTTCCAATATGGTTGGGATATGGTTCCAATTTGGTTCCAATATGGTTCCAATATGGTTCTAATATGGTTAACGAGGTTGTACTGTATCGCTTACTTACAATTAAAACATTATTCACTTGATATAGCTGAATACCTTTAGACAAAATCGCCTCATCGCTTACGCACTGGAGGCAGTTACGTTGAGCTATCAACTTTGGGTTTGAGTGAGTCGAATGTCACTCAAGAAATCATTGAGAGGAGGACAAGTTTGTGAGTTTCAATTTAAATCCCATATTGATAACTTTAGACACATTAAAAACCTAATTTTAGTGTTCCTAATGGTCCCTTGGCGAACCAAAACTGCTCCCAAGCTTCGAAGATTTGAGCGATGATGAAAAAGAGACGGCTTTCTGTTGGGGGAAGCAAGAGCCAGCGAATAAATTAAGTGGAACAAAGCGATTGGAAAGACAAGTTTTGAAGCTAAATTTGTAAATCTACAACAAAAAAAAATTAGTTATCGCCACCACTTTCTCGATCTTTGGACTGTCCTCATCCACTTGAAGTGATTGAAGAGATGCCAGCATTGAGGCGACGCTTCTCTTGTCCGGATCTCTATCTGCAACAAGTAAAAGAAGTAAATTTTGAAATCTTTGATATAAAAGAAAAAAAAAAAAAAAGACGAAAAGGTTTTTTTTTTTTTTTTTTTAAAAAAAAAAAAAAAAAAATAAAAAAAAAAAAAAAAAAAAAATAAAATTTTAAAAAAATTTGAAAAAAAAAAAAAAAAAAAAAAAAAAAAAAAAAAATTAAAAAAATATAAAAAAAAAAAATTTTATTTTTTTAAATAAAAAAAAAAAAAAAAAAAAAAAAAATATAAAAAAAATAAAAAATTTTAAAATTATTAAATATTAAAAAATTTTAATTTTTTAAAAAATAAAAAAAAAAAAAAAAAAAAAAAAAAAAAAAAAAAAAAAAAAAAAAAAAAAAATAAAAAAAATTTAAAATTTTTAAAAAAAAAAAAAAATTTTAAAAAATAAAAAAAAATTAAAAAAAAAAAAAATTATTATAAAAAAAAAAAATAAAAAAAAATTTTTTAAAAAAAAAAAAAAAAAAAAAAAAAATTTAAAAAAAAAAAAAAAAAAAAAAAAAAAAAAAAAAAAAAAAAAAAAAAAAAAAAAAAAAAAAAAATTTTTTTTTTTGCTATAACACTTAAAAGATGCAAGATTGTTCAATTTAATTTTTCAAACTTTTTCCTTGAAATCCTTTGCTTGAAGATTGCAAAGTTTTAAGATCAAGACTAGGTTGCATAGAGTGAAATTCTGTTTTCTACTCTCGTGCGATAAACTTATCAAGGTCAAAGATAAACTTATTATCAAACAAACTAATTGACTACAAAATTGGGATATCCGGGAGTGGGACAAATGTGATCTTTTTTAGCTGGATAAGGCCTTAGGGAAGGCTGTAGAGCTTCAAAAATCTTCCCCTGAAGGGGAATCGTATGCGTAGATTCCGAATTTCGATAAATCAAACCCTCGCTGCCACGTTAAATTTGGGTTAAAAGGCAAAAACTACGCAGCTTAACACTTTTCTGCAGTTTTTGCCTTTTGGCCCAAAGTTGACGTGCCAGCAGGGTCTTATTTATCGAAATTGGAATCTCGCATACGATTCTCTTATAGAGAAAGATTTTGAAGCTCTCGGTCTTTCTAAGGTCTTTTCCAGCGAAAAAGCTGCGCAAATGTCCAGGTGCGCAAGAGAAAGGTAGCATTTGTCCCATCTCCGGATATCTAATCTCATTTTCAGCTCTCTTTGGAACCCCCAGTTAGCCCATTCTATGCTCACAATCGAACGCCCACCCCGGCTAGTACAAGTGATGACCCGTGGAGACATCGAAAGTAGTCAAATAAAAAAAAATGATTATCATATTTAAATTAAGATATCAACTTTTCAATGCACCAAAATCTCATTGTATCGAAATGATGAAAGATATCGAGGAGCGAGTGAGAGAAAAATATGCACATGAAGACGATGAAGAATTTGAAGGAAATGAACGAGAAGACGGAATTTTGATCAAACGGAAAAGGAGCTATTGGAAGCTGGGAAAGGAAATAAGGTGATTGGGTTGGGTCAGCAAAACAATTGTTTTGTCTTTCAGACAGAAAACCAGCTTGATGTGCCGTCAAATCGAGGAGCGTCTCGTTCATTGCCCGGCTCGTCGGCTCTTGATCGGGTTTGTAAAGAGAGAAAAACTTGGTAGTAACAATTTGCAAAGTTTTTCCCCCCAGATCTAGTCTTACTATTAGATGCAGTTACTATTTTTCCTTCATTTTTCAAATTTCCAGCTCTATTTGGACTGGTGCTTGTAAAATTTTCAGTCTTTTTCTAAAACTACAACGAAAACGTGCATAGTCGAGTCCAGAGCAAAATTAACAGTGCTTCTTTTGGCTTAAAGGAGGCTTTTTCTATTATATTTGAGTTTTTGGTAAAAAGGCAAGATGTTTGACCGCAGTTGGATTCGAACCTGTGACCTTTCGCATTCGGTGCAAGGGCACTAACCACTCGGCCATAACCCGCCATTGATCCTGTTTGACATTTCCAGATTATATATAGGTTAGATAGCTAAAAGGCGTTATCTGTTGGATTAGTTTAAGCTTTCTTAAACTTCCCTTAAACTTAACCTTTCTTAATCTTCCAGTCAGCAAGTCTCTGGTGGCCTAGTGGTTAGCGCGCTCGCACCAAATGCGAGAGGTCAGGGGTTCGACTCCGTCTCCAATCAAACATTTTGCTTATTTAGCAAAAGCTCAAATATAATGACGAAACCATTTTAAGCAAAGTTAAACAAGTATTAATTGTTTTTTTAAAGCTGATAGAACTTCAAGCTGGTAAAACTAAGCTTCAGGACACCTCATCACTACTTGATGATGAGGATGATTTCGATGAGAAACGAAGGAGAACCGATTCGGTTTATCGACGAATGACAACATGAATGCGAATCATCAATTGAAAGTAATTGTGATCTTGATTTCAACGTGTCAATTCATCTTCTAGTTCGCAAATTTGCATTCTGTCTGCTCGTTCGAGTTCTCTCCGCACAGCGCCGCTTTAATCGGATGCGGAAAGAATTACAGGAAGAGTTATCACTGGAAACGATTATGGTTAGTGTTAAAGTGTTAATAAATTAATAAATATTATATTAAAACTTATATTAAAACTTACAATTGGTTAATTTTTAACTTTTAAACACTTTAAAGCTTGGTAAAGCCTCATTTAATACTTTAATTTCACGTTTAGCCCCTCGAATACCCGGACACTTGGGGCGCTGACAAATACAGCATTCTGAGCATCAAGAAAGTCCAAGTTTGTGAAAACAAAGCAATACTTTCAAAAGTCAAAATCCAGATTTTGTTCCATGTACTCGTTGATGGGAAGAGATGTCTACAAATTGGTGGTCGATCGAGCGAAGAGGGGCGCGGTCAACTTCTCCGTGGAACCAGGAATTGATCGACTTACTGGTGAGCTTTCGACTTCAAATACTTACATAAACTTAACGAAAAACCTTACCTTTTTCTGGTACACTTTACTGTTTATTATTTATTCAAAAAGAATGAGTACAACCTGAACCAGGTTCCAGATAGTCGATTTAAAACAATTTTGGGTCGAACAGATTAGAACAGATGCCAGAACAGATTAGACTGGGCCAGGTACAAGCCCTGGTTTGCTCCTGGCCCCTGGCTTTACTGAAGGACCTAACAATCCTGGCCTAACATGACCTAACAATCCTTACTACTAGTTATTAGTTCTACTAGAAACAAAATCTGACTTGTTTTACGGTATTAGGATCCTGGTGGGGATTCCTGACCAGACCAAGCTTCAATGTTCGTGCACAAATTTTGGTCGAATAGATTAGACTGGGCCAGGTACAAGCCCTGGTTTGCTCCTGGTCCCTGGCTTTACTGAAGGACCTAACAATCCTTACTACTAGTTATTAGTCCTGCCAGAAACAAAATCTGACTTGTTTTATGGTATTAGGATCCTGGTGGGGATTCCTGGCCAGACCAAGCTTCAATGTTCGTGCACAAAGAACACTCTATGAATAACCAAAATGTAGCAGTAACAATAGCTGCTTTAGTACCATAATACCCTATAAATATTTAAGATTTATTTATCTTTTCCTACTTTCTGTTTCATTTTAGATATGAAGAAAAACTCAATTGACATTTTCTTGAGCACCGCGAAAGAGTCAGAGAAAATGTTCTTCATGTGGTACTCTTGTGTGTTCGATCTAGTGCATGGATTGAGGCCGAACATTGAGGAACCCGATCCAGAGACCGAAGGACAAGTTACAGAAGGACAAGGTACAGAATTTTGACACTTTTAAAAGAATATTGACTTTTTTCAGATAACAAGAAGAAATCCCCGGAATGGGATATGGACAACGATGAGTACTATCGACAGTTTGCGAATCGAAAGGATGAACTTTACAGGACTCGAAGCAGACGCGATAGTGCTGATGGTAAATGAATTGTTTAGAGTATTGGATATTTGTTATCAAAACATTTCAGAGTTTGGCTCTGAACTGACTGAAGTGAGGGAGCAAAGTGATGTCGAGGATGAGACAGAAACGGTGAAAGCAAGGTAATGAATGAGGTCAATAAAGCAAGGCTGGTTTATTCCTTTCACGCTTTTTTCGAAAACTTGTCAACTTCTGAAAGTTAGAGAATGGATTCTATAGATAGGAATCTATAGAATCTATTCTCTAACTTTATCCTTTATTCAATTGAGCTAGATTTCTGTAGTTTCCTTTTGTGAACCGTCATAGGATCAAGTCCATTAGTTCGGTAGGGTCAGGATTACAGTTTTCAGTAGTTTCCTTTTGTGAACCGTCATAGGATCAAGTCCATTAGTTCGGTAGAGTCAGGATTACAGTTTTCAGTAGTTTTCAAAAAGTTAACACTTTGATTACTTTGATTTGACTTTTTATTTGATAGAAACAAACTAAAATTCGAATTATTTTGAAGCTTTTGATTAAATCAGTCGATTCTAAAGCAACAGATTGAATTTCGCTTTGAAAGATGAACGCTTTCGATAACTTTAATTTACAGATCAACATGCACTGAGGAGAGCTATGATTCCGATGTCACCGAAGAGGATGATGAGGATGAGGCTGAGGCTGAGGCAGATCTCGTCTGCTTCAGAATTAGAGGGTTAGTTCTAAACGTTTCTTTATGATTAATGTATCTGAAAACGTGAAAACGCATCGAGCATACGATTTTTGTTCAAAATCTCCCTCTCAGATTACCCGGACTCCTTCAATTGGCCTCAATCGCAACGACGAGATCCGAAGAATATGAGACCGATCATTTTGGGATTATAGAGGTAGATGTAGATTCAGAAAATGTAGATAAAGCTTAAAAATCTAACAAGAGAAAGACAACAGTAGAATGCGGCCAAATGAGATGAGCCATTCGACGCAGAATCTCACGTTGATTTCGAATTTGCTTTCCGTTTTTGCAAAATTGCTTTCTATAAAAAGTTATACGTGTTTTAAGTTTTAAGGTGAAAATGCGAAAATTTTGAGCCGAATAGGGCCTTTATAAGGGTTCTATAAGGGTTTTATAAGGGGTTTTATAAGGGCTTTCCTAAAATTAAACCATAAAAAGTGGCACCATGGAGGGATTGTCAAGAAATCGAATGAACCGGGTTATAGTATAAACTAGGAGTTCGGCAAACAAACAAAACCAAAACCAAAAACCAAAACACCAAAACAAACCAAAACTCAATTTGCATAGAAATTAACATGTGAATTTAAAATTGTAAAATGCAAATTTTAATGTAAAATGCAAATTTGCCTTTCACTTTTCCTCACTCCCCAAAATCTCGCGACCGAAAAAAGGACCAAAACACGACCTCGAAATTTCGAAACAAAAAATAGCCTATGGGATAGATTTTTTGGACGCTGATTTCAAATCTGCAAACAGATTTTCGCTAGCTTCTCCCAATCGCGAGATATTGGCGAGTTTTGGTTAGTTTTGGTTTTGGTTTTGGTTTTGGTCTGTTTTGGTTTTGGTGGTTTTGGTTTTGGTTAAAGTTTTGTTTTCCGAAGTCTAGTATAAACATTTCAAAGTGGTTTTAAGGCCAGATAAGATTCAGATGTTAAAGCCATTAAAAATGCAAAGCAAAAGTTTTGCCAAAAAAACGAATCAAACTCGAGCAAAACATGTGCCGCTCGTTTTGTATGCAAGCGTCTTATCCACTACCCTATCAGGTCACGCTTGAGATCCGTGAGAGAATCTTTATAAAAGCATCCCTGGCTATAAAGGATTCGGCTTGAAATTTTCGCATTTTCACCATTTCACACATTTTCAAAACTTAAAACACGTATAACTTTTTATAGAAAGCCATTTTGCAAAAACGGAAAGCAGATTCGGAATCAGCGTGAAATTCTGCGTCCAATGGCTCATCTTATTTGACCACATTCTACTGTTGCCTTTCTCTTGTTAGATTTAGATTCGGAATCAGCGTGAAATTCTGCGTCCAATGGTCTATGACTTATCTCATTTGCATTTGACCACATCCCATTGTTGCCTTTTTCGTTGTAAAGTGTTGTTCATTTCAGATCTAAAGTGTTGTTCATTTCAGATCTATTCCGGTCCTGAAAGAATGGCGATTCTTCGATCAATCGGCATGCCGAATCCATTCAAGAGAACGGCTATTCGAAAACTTGCAAAAATCTACTTCAACAAGAACAGCAACAATTTTCGGCCCTACACTTGCTTGTTGATTGCGATGTTATACGGAGCACACACAGCTGTTGGAGAGGTAAAACTTTGTAACTCAATTTGTGATATTGTATTCAATTGAGCTCATGAAAATTGAGCAATAGCATCAACTCTATTAGTGTTATTTACGACTTTTCTTCATATTTTCTTCATCGTTTACTTCTTTCAGATGTTCGAAGAGATCAGTAATGCTTATGGAAAGCAAACGCCTGGCTCAATCGACGATATGACTGGAGGACCGATTGGTTGGTGTAAAAATAAAGTAAAGAAATGAATGGGAAAGAATGGGAAAGAGTTTGAGGCCAAGGGGGAAACCCTCGACCTTCTACTGTAAAGATCTAAACATCTGTAACGATCTACTGTACTGGAATAAGAAATTGAATATGTTTACGAATAAGTGTTTAGGTCAATGCCATTTTATGAGCGAAATGTGGTCTCGGTTCAAAGATTTGCAGGAACTTAAGGAGAGGAATTCAAAGGTTAGAGAGATTTTATTGTTAGAAATAGATCAATATTTTTAGGACTATAGCACTGGGCACAAGCGATGGTTGGCCAAATATAAGCAGTACTCTTCAGGTATCGTTATACAGATAATTTTTCACGATTGAGTGATTCAGTTAATGCTCAACCGGAGCTCTACGCTTGTTTAACGTTTATGGCAATGGTGTTGGATACGGCTCACGCTGAGGAGCACAGGAGAACGTTGGCGCTGGATATGGTAAGGGGGGAATTTTGTTCTTGATTGATGAACTTAACTTAAATATAAATATAACTTGGTTCTATTCAATATTCAAAAATAACTATTCAATTAGATTCCCACAAAAGCTGCCGTAAATCAATTTAAATAAAGCCTCAAAAAATTGCGTTTTAATTTAACCTTCAGTTGGAGTAACTAACATTTGTATTCGATTCGACAAACTTCGACACGACAAACTTGCAATTTCCAAGCAATGCCAATCGTTATTTCTTATTCTTGTTATCTGTATTCTGGGCTGCTTCGCTACGGCTCTATGTTTTCGCTTTCAAAATCTGTAGACAAGACGATCTCCTTTTTCCAAGACAAGCGAATTCTTTCGATTTCTTCACGGTTTTGCTCTCAAGGACATACAATGAAGTTATACGGAATCGGTGATGATGTGGAAAATCTGGTTGTCGAAAAGAGATTGGACAGACGACAGACAAGGCATCTTGTTTAAAAATAGTCGACTTCATTTCGAGTTATCTGGCTGAATTTATGGTTAGAACCGAAATCAGAAAAGAAAGCTTCTACAATTGGATTTTGGAGCAAATCAATGCAAAATGGCCACCTTGTTCGTGTTGAATCGTGAAGAAATTAAGAGCCTAACTTGCCCAAAATGTTTTCTTCGTACGCTTGTGCTCTTCCTTCTTTCTGACTCGAGCAAAAAAAAAACCTTTTTCCGTGAAATCTCTTGATCGTTTTCTGCTCTTCCTTTTCCCCCCACTCCTCTCTACTTCATCCCTTTTGGCGCTCAACCAATCTTCCTTCTCAACCAATTTCTCAACACGAACAAGGTGTTCGTGTTGAATCGTGAAGAGATTTTAAAAAAAGGAAATTTTGTGGGGTATAATTGAAAAGTACCTATAAATTAACTTAAATTTCAAATTTGTCTTTCCTTCTTTCTCTTGGCAAGTTAAGGTACCGAATACCTCAGTGGTTAGAGCAATTGCACGAAAAACAAAAGGTTGTGGGTTCATCCTCTCTCCGGAATTCTAGACTCTCTTGGCAATTCCTTCACTTCTTTATTAACCAAGTCGCGTTTCAAAGAATCGATTGATGTGTGGGATTTAGCATAAGCCTTTGTCTCCAGAATGGATCAAATAGAATAATCGAGAGGGTTGAGATCAAGCGATTTCGATAACCATTCACCAGAAGTCTATGAGCTGACATGAACGGTGATCCAATCTGGAAAGTTCTTAGCAATCCACTCTTGAACCTAGATCCTTTCCTTTCCTAGATTCGCAAGTCTTTTTTGCTTTTCAGATCTAATAGAGAGAGTTTAATAATAGTTAAAAACAAATGAAAAACAAAAAAACATAAACTTTTCTAACAGAGTAAACTTTTCTTCACTCAACCAAAGCATTCAATTCCAGAGTGTCCCCTTCGTCTTGCGAATCGCTTTTTGTGCAATGTACATGAAACGACTCGAACTTCTCTCAATTCTATGCACTCAAATGGAAGTGGCAAACGATTTGAACAAGCTGATCTTTCTCGGTCTTGGGCCCCATCCGCAGCATTCGAGTGTTATTGAAGTGGGTGTTTAACTTCTTTAAACTTTACAATGCTTTATTTGACCCAAACGATTCGTTTAATAGGGTCCACTTGGTGGTGGAGAGCCTCCGGTTGGGCGTGGCGGAGGATTTGATCCATTCGGTGGGGGTGAAGGGCGGCCTAAAGACGTCGAGATTAGTACAAGTTAAGCCAGAAATAGTTTACTTTCGACTTTTGACATATGATCTACGTCTATAGCTCAATGAAGCTTGTTATTAGTAAACTTTTGGCTATATATGAATTACTATCGTTGAGTTGAACTAACCAGTTGGTGATGGAGGAGGACGAGAGCCGGGTGGTGGAGATCCTAAAAGTTGATACTCAGTTATCGTACTCAAAACTTTTGTAGACCTCCGTTTGGTGGTGGTGGTGGGCGAGAGCCGGGTGGTGGGGGATCCTGCAAAAACTAATGAGTTACTGTAGAAAGAATGTTACTGTAGTACAGTAAAGAAAGTTACTATAGAACTAACCTCCGTTCGGTGGTGGAGGTGGTGGAGAACCTAGAATTAAAAATAAAAATCATTGCAGCTCTTATTGAGCATTTTCATTTGGTCATCGGACATTTGATCTAGGCTCCGCCTCTTTTGCCATTGGCAAACTTTGGGCTCAAATATCTAGGTGTCAGGCTGTCCAATTTAAACTTTCTTGTTATCATTAGATGCGCCAAGTCTTTCTCTATTGATTGGTACAAAAACTATTTAGATTGGGCAGCTCAACACCAAGATATTTGAGCTTAAAGTTGGATTGCCAATGGCGGAGGGGGGCGTATAAAGGTTCCACAATCGCCCGCCCCTTTTCCCATTGGCAATTTAACTTTAAGCTCAAATATCTTAGTGTTGAGCTGTCCAATCTAAATAGTTTTTATACCAATCGATAGAGAAAGACTTGGCGCATCTAATGATATCAAGAATATTTAAATTGGGCAGCCTGACACCTAGATATTTCAGCTCAAAGTTTGCCAATGGTAAAAGGGGCAGGGCGCGGATCAAATGCCCCACAATATTTTCCTTTTTGACAACAAGATCTATCTATGATTAAACTAAACAAACCGACATTGATATTTCATTAAACTTGCAGCCTTGTCACTTAGATTTCTTTTAAACTAACCAGTTGGTGGTGGTGGTCGAGAACCGGGTGGTGGAGATCCTAAAAAGTGATTGGTACATTAAATGCAGAGAAAATTGAGGCTTGAGCAAAGATTGAATTCGTTCTACTATGAAAAGCTTAGATACCGTAGCAAAATCAAATCTAGAAACATTAAATCTCTTAACTCACAAAACTTTTGAAGCTTCAAATTCAAAATATCGGGTAAAATGAAAGAGACAAGAAGTTCTACTAACCTCCATTTGGTGGGGTGGTGGAGGTGGTGGAGGTGAGCCTAAAGAATGCTTCATAATAATAGCTTGCTAATCAACAAAAACCTCCTCTTGGTGGTGGGGGGTGGTGGAGGTCGAGGTCCTCCATTACCACCAGGTGGTGGAGGTGGTTGACCTAGAATGAAAAGTTAGACTTCTTCCAAATACTAGTTAAGCTAAGATTCTCAACTGAAGGGCTAGGATCGTTTAAGAGCTAAATCCGAGCTAAATACGAGCTAAATCCGAGCTAAATCCGAGCTAAATCTAGGTCTAAATCTAAAACTAAATCTAAAACTAAAGCTAAGAGAGCTAAATACGTTTAATTATATTCACAAACCTCCTCTAGGTGGTGGGAGTGTGGGTTGTTGGCCTCAAAAGTTGTACTTTAAGGCGTCAATAAGTTATTGAATCTTTACAGCTAACGGCGGGGGATAGTGATTATCGGAGAGGTCCAATTTTTTTGGCCAACTTGCAGCTCATTTTTAAACATCTTAAACTTGTCAGATCAGAAAGTTTTAATAAGATTTAGATAGCTTAGAACGTCACCTTTCAGAAACTATTTGTTTTTTCTCAAAAGTTATTAACACTAAACTTATATAAAATCGGGCGGCAAGTTGATCAAAAATTTGGCCTCGCCGATAATCGCTACCGCCGCCTTTAATCGTAAGGTCCGAAATAACAAATAATCAGTAGAAGATTATTAAAAAATGATAAATCAACTATTAAAAGTGCTTTAAGCAACTATTAAACAGAAAATCGACAGCCCAAAGGTAAAAACCAACCTCCAGGTGGTGGTGGAGGTGGGCTAAAGTTCATTTCCTCATTTGAATACCATATTAACAGATACTCTAAGTCAACGGCTAACAAATCTGCAACACCTAAGTTTGAAGTAAAACTGTTTAGAGATAGTATTTTAATTTCTTATTTATATTTAACTATTGAGGCTATTCATTTTATTAGAGTCTATGGAAAAAATGAATGGAAATCAAAGAGCATACCGTAAATACTGTAATAATACCCCACCCGCCTCGTACAGTCGCGTAGTCTCAAAGTTTTTTAGTATTTCTTTTTTTGCAAAGCACCCGTACTTCAAAAATGCGTCTTTAGTATCAAAAAATAGCTGAAATTCAGGGCTATTTTTTGTTACCTAAGCTTGTATTGTAGCATAAACTAGTGTCGAGAGAAAAACTCGTTCAAAGCTCGACTACATAACCTCCGCACCGCAACAGCTAGACTACGCAACACTGCAATTATGGGGCTGGGAAGTACTATTACAAGTATTTACGGTAATTGGGTCTATTGGAGATTTAAAAAAAACTTTAGCAAGTCAATTGAAATAGAAACTTTTTACACTTACGCAACACAGACGGCCACCAAGCACAGCGCAACGGGGATCAGGAATTTCATTTCCTTTTTTTTGTTGAGTCGAATGGATCGAACACGATTCTTTCGATTCCGAATCCCAATTTATACGATTTATACGATTCAATTTTTCTCCCCATTCTTTACAAATGATATCATATGAGGTGGAATCTCGTCAATTTCAGTCGTTTAGAGCCGTTTCAAATCCATTTTTTTTTGTGCTCACTTCCAAATCTTGTTGACCCATCAAGAGAAAAAAAAAATAATAACTCCACCGTTGCCTTAAGCTGTATCAATAATAGTCACACGGGGTCACACGCGGAGACTTTTCAAAAAAAACTTTGATTGATTTGATTTACTTTGATTTACTTTGATTTACTTTGATTTGACTTTGATTTACTTTCAAATTTAGTTTTGCTGACTCGACCCAAGACTGTCAACTGGCATCGTTTCTGTTCTTGACCGGGGAATGCATTGCGACGCCCGTAAATGATCCGCAAATGGTGAGTGTTGTTTCTTTGTTTGAAAATTTGGTAACCTTTAATAATCACAGTAATATTTCTTCAGTAAAATTCTAGTTTTTATAAAATCTGAGAGGTAATAAAATAAACTGAAAGATAAAAAACGTATGTAGATCGGATAAAAACCATAGGCAGGATTAAGATAGCTTTTAAAACTTATCACATTTTAGAAAACGAAAACGAAGTAACTTTGGCAAAACATAGCAAAAAGCTAAAAACTAAAAGCAGTAGGCTGAAGCAAAAAAAAGCTAAGCTGAAGCCGAAGTTTCAGTTTCGTTAAGAATTGAGAGCTTTACATTGTAGAAGTAGAAAGATAGATGTAGTAGAAAGATTTATAAAGTATTATAGTATCGTAATTCTTCTTACAATCTAGATATTGTAATTCTTACAATCTTTTTACAATTTTGTACGCTATACTTCCATCTGCGTTGAACAGTGATCATCATTTTAGGCCCAAGAGCACATCATCGAGGCAGGCGTCCCGGGATTGGCTGATATCTACCCAGAGACATACTTGGATCATGAAGTCGCTTATGAGTGAGCTATAAAAAGGGGTGCTTTTAAAAAGGAATCTAGAAAATCAGTCACACTTTCCGTAAGCTCTACGATGAACTTACCAGATCTGCTAAATTATCATTTTGAAAAATTTTCTGTTGGTTTGTGAGTGTTTGTGTGTCTGTTACCACAATTTTGCTTCATCTTTTGCGTTTTACAGAGGGCAAAGCATCGAACTAAGGAAAATCAGGGGTGAGAAAGAAAGGCAAATGAAATTTTTTTTAATTCGTACGTTTTTGGTATTAAATCTGCGAATTTTCTGAAAAAGCCGACTAGAGTTTTGGAAAGAATGGAGGAAGGAGAGCTTTCGTATGCAAGTTTCCAAATGGTGATTTTTAAAAAAACAGCTGGTGAACTACAGAAAATCATCATAATCATCTCTATTTCAGCAAACTCTACGAGGGTCGAATGCGTGTGATCATCGATCGATATTTAACCGTGCTCACGTCGGCTCGTTTGCACATTATGAGATGTGCTTTGCATGGACTCTTGTACCCACCGAAACGAGAGAAAAGATGCATGGGTAAGTTGTAAAATAAGTTTTAAATCCTAATTGATAAGCTAGACAAAAAATAAAAGCTTCTTTTAGTGGTCAATCTCTTGCGGTTTTCTGCTTTGAGCCGGTGGTTGGTGCACGCGAAAGAGCCGAACGGATTCAACAGGAAAAAGATGCTGTGAAGAAAAATGAGATGCTTGAAAAGTAAGAAATTTTCCGTATTTTTCGCTAAAAAACCGTTTCAGTTGGCTGCCGAGAAAATGGAGGCTCAAAATCTCAATGAAGATTTTGGGGAAAACGCCGAAACGAAGAAGAGAGCAGGGCCACATGCACACGCGAAAGCTTACAATCCAGAGGATGAGCAAATGGTGAGATAACTTTGAAAAAAACATGAAGATATGCAAATATTTTAGCCAAAAGTTGCTCGTCCAATGTCATGCCCGATGCCGTTGTGCCGAAAACCGTATCCGAAGTGCGCGATCTGCTTGCGGGGCTATGGTACACCGGTTGTCGGCTATGATCACCATATGGGACATGCGGCTGCTCATGCGTTTGCTTTTGCTTGGTGAGTTCACATGCTTAATCTAAATATGCGACTAAAAACGGAATTATAGCCACTTGAGTTGATCAAACTCAATTATACGGTTCGTGAAAGTTCTTTCGTCTCCTAAAGGACCACTTCTACAATGTTTTATGGCAGTTTCCAAGACTCAAAACCTACAAAATTAGATTTCTCAAGTATTTTTACACTAGAAAAATCTGTTTCCATATCTCTTATCTTAGTCACTACAAAAGGTTTTATCGAACCTTTAGAACAACATTTAAGATACCCTCTGGTCACAGCAATGCAAAATAGCCTTTCTAAACACTTTTAAATGACTATTTAGCTATTTAAACATTTTTCACATTTGATTAGCCATAGTCTCACGTGCGAAATTTGCTTCTACAATCCGAAATTTTTCGCAAAAGGTGATCAAAATTACATTAGACCTCAAAACTGCACAAGCCGATCTGAAAAGCGACCTTAAATCGGGATGAAAAGGCTCAAATGCAAATTCAAAACTGTAATAAATTATAAAACTGTTTTTATAGAGAAATAGTTACTAAAAACCTTTGAAAATACCAATTTCTAATTTGCTACGAAGCTAGGAAAGTCGATTTTGGCCTCAGAACTCAAATGTTGTCATAAAAAGCTCTATAAAAACCTTTTATATAGGTTAAAATAGAAGAGATGAAACAAGTTTCTAGTGTAAAAAATACTGAGAAATCTAACTTTGTAGGTTTTGAGTCTTGGAAACTGCATAAAACATTGTAAAAGCGGTCTTTGAGGAGACGATAGAACTTTTCACGCATCCTGTATGACACGTGATTTTAAGAGCACTTGCTTTCCCATACTGTAATCAAACTTGGGCACAAGGTACTTCTAAAGCAAAAGCACTGTAATTTCTAGATAAACAGAGTCGATAAGGCAGACACATCCAATCTCTTAACGATCTCATTTTTAGCGTTGTGAGCACGGCGGCCACGGGGCTCATATGATGCGATGGTTTCTAAACATCATCAAAGTGTCCTATTTGCGACTGCAAGTAAGCCTAAAAACACCAAAAATCTATTTTAGTAGAAGAAAAACAAATATATGCCCTTCAATATTTCATTTTTAATTTTAGATGTCTAGGGAGTACAAAGACTAGAACCCAGTCCTATTGTCAAGAAAGCTCGAGCAATGGAGAGAGGCACTTCTTGAAGATGTAAAGTTCCGATGAAATCTTTAATATATCTAAAAACCAAGGCTATCTAAATTCTAAATTGCAAGATTCTTTATTTGAATATCTAAAACTTTTGAAAATCTAGGTTGACGACGAGCTGCATGAGTTTCTCGAAGCAAACAAAGAGCGGAGTATCATTCAACGCCTCATCGTGCCCACTACTCCGTATTTTCAAAAGTAAAATGATGTAAATTATTGCGTTTTTTTGTTATTTTAACGGGTACAAACCAACACCCTGCTCACTTGCCTTAAAAAATGATTAAGGGTGATTATTTATCTCGAATTTTTTATGTAGAAGTTATTCGTAAGCTTCGAAAACTCTCTAACTATTGGATTGGTGAATTGAAAACCGCTGCCGTGGTCAGAGTGTGCATATAGCTTGAGCCTCTCTTCAAAAGAAACCCATTTTGGTGTCAATAGAAAAGTTGTAGAGAATCAAAAATTAGGCATATAGCCAAATTTTCAGAACGATTCAAAAACTGGTTTTCAAGAAATGCAAAATTTACGAATTTTCACAAAACTTGCATTTTAAGCGAAACTACTAAGTGTATCTTTTGGAAATTTGGCTATAAGCCTCATTTTTGATTCTCTACAACTTTTCTACTGACACCAAAATGGGTTCCTTTTGAAGAAAGTGCTCAAACTGGGATCTCCAGTCTCCATCTCCAGTCCTTCATTTTTGAGTCTCACACTTGTCTCACCACACAAACCAAAAATCCTACTACGAAAGAGGAATCCGCAAATTGCTTGTAAAATGGGCAGAAGTCGTCAATAATAATGGAAATTATTTCGAATCAATTTATGGCTTTATGTTGAATAAATTTTAGTTCAAAGTCACGCAGTTTTCAATTCACCAACCTAATAGAAGTTATTCGTAGGCTTTGAAAACTCTAACTATAATAATAATCGATGTAGAAATATCTGGAAACTATGCAAGAACTGATTTTTAAAAATTACCATCTTACCATGAGCAAAACATCATCAATACATTGATAAAAGGCACAAACGATTTGATGGTTTTTTGTTTTTATCGTTTTGCTCGTTTCACTTGATTGTAATTCTTCAATAAACATATCAGAAGACAAGAAATCATTCGCTTATAAAGTTTTGAATGCATTTTTGCATGAAATTATTGTTTTTAATATCCTTTAATCTTCATTCTTCAGTCATTTCTTTAAAATATAACCTTCATTTTAGGGCAAACACGTCAAAGACTAGTAAGTTTACGGTCAAAATGATCACGAAATCTGTGAGAAAGGAATAGCTGTTTAGTTTCGAATTGCACAAACGACCAGACTATTTGAAATTGTCTATTTTTATCTACTCTTCTTATCGAAAAACTGCACAAAAGGGAAATCAAGCTTAAAAAGTGATGGCCGAGTGAAATTTTCTTGTTCTTCTTTGAATATTCAAATGTGTATGAAGTACTGAATTTCTTTGCTTAATTTGCTTTCAAATTTTGAATGTTTAAATATTTCTATTCAAATCTAGGCATTTGATGAGAAGAATCTAATTTCCTTTAATCGGCGATTGGTGAGTTAAAGCCTTGTGGGACAACCCTGAACTCCTTGCCAACACCTGAAGAGAGACATTCTTTCACTTCACGTGAAGATTCTACAAGGGCGAAAAGCAGCTAGTCAAGCTGGCTCTTTGGCTTCTGAAAACCAAGTCCATCTTATTTTCTTGTTCTCTATGGGATTCCGAATCCGTTTTTTAGTCTTTGTAGAACCCGAGATATTCGAAATTTCGGCTGTTACACGCCGCGTTACACGCCCTTAAGAAGTCGTTACAATCATCCCTTGTAAAAGCTTCGATGGTCTAGTGGACTAAACTATCCACCAGTGGACTATCCACTTGTCCCGTCAATTCATTTCACTATCCACTGTGACTCACAGAACCCACTACCCTCCTTGTCCTCAAATTCGAGTCCCACCTTACTAAACTCTTATTTTCCTTCTTTAAAAACTGCTTCCTTACGTACTTGCAAATGAATACAATAGAGTTGAATTTAGTTTCAGAGTTGAATAGAAAGATTTCAAGAATTTAAGATAATAGAGTTGAACAGCTAAAAGCTAAAAGCTCAAGAATAAAAGCTAAAAGCCTGTAGCTTTCGGAAATGTGGCAACAAATGATCAATTTTTTTCAATATTTATCTACTGATCCCGATACTTTGGAAGCTTCCAGCTTTTGTAAATTATTTGAAGTGACAGAACGGTGCAAAAATTCATTTCAAATATGTAGGAAAACAGTTTTAAGAAGTCTGACGAGAGGGGACTCGAACTTGAGGGACAAAAGGCGTAATTGGTTTGGCAGCCCTGCAGACTATCCATTACACCAAGGTAGCAGTTATCCGTGAGAAGTACTTTTGGCGGCCTCATAACGAGCATATGGCCATAAAGAGGCGGGCATAAGAGCCGGCCTCATAGCTCAAAATCAAGGTGATTGTCTATGAAAAATATCTCGTGTTTGCGAAGCGTTCTGGAAAAACTAAAAACAGATTCGAGATCCTCGCGATCGACTCTATAAGATGGACTTGATCTTGAGTCAAACAATTAGCTTGATTCGGTGCTTTGTTGGGAACAAAGGCTGTTTGCCACTGATCTGTAGAAGATCTGATCCGATTTGATCCGATCTGATCACTTCAAAGATCTGTAGAAGGCCCTAAGCCATACGACAAGTCAAACAGTACCTCACGAATGTAATTTTGTCGGCTTTTCTTCGCAGCTACTCTGCAGTAAATTGATCGCCTGACTCGCAATTGTGGCAAGTTGAAGTATTCAGCTTCCCTCAAACTTTGTTCTTTATTTCCGATGGTATCAGCTTTCGTGAAATGAATCAGCTTTCCTGAAAGATCCATAATTAACTGTAAATGAATCTAAATCTCTCAAATCCGTCTAAATCTAAACACATCCATCTGCTTACACCATGAAATCCAAGCACCGTGAATTCGATAACGATTTTAATGGAACAAAGTCTGTTACTAAGTCTGTTACTAAGTCTGCTACATAGTCAGTGTTGAATCTTTTTACAAAATTCACTCAATCTTTTCGTATACGTGAAAGCTTGCGTTAATTTAAGTGTATTTGAGAACGAAATCCAATCCATTCAATCCATCCAAGAACCTGTGTGAGTAAAGCAAGCCTATCCGGATCTTTCGGCAAACACGCTTCCCACAGTTGACCAGCTGTTTTCCAAGCGGAAATAGTTGAGAATAACAGAGAAGCTAAAGAGAAACATTTGATTTTCTTAAAATTCTTAGCATTTCTCTCTTTTTATGTTTTAAAAACTCACGTTTTTGGGTCACGATCGATGAAAAATTCGTTTTCCCTCACCACGAATGGAACTTCTTTCATTGCCGGTGACGAACCACTGAAAATTGAAATGAAAATTTCTTCTTTAATAAGTAATTCCTTCTTCTTTTTAACAAGTAAATGCTTTTCTCTGATATAAATAATCATAAATGATGGCGCATAAAGCTTTCAAACCTTGTAAAATGGTGTATCTTTTAGGAAAGTCTTTCGAAATGTCGAGAATTTCTTCCCGCAACATTGAAGTTGATAATGTCGTTGGCTAGACCGATCATCATCGCATTATCTTCAAGTTTTTGAAGTTTGATAAAGGATTTTTAAATGATAAAGGAGAATTTAGAAAAATGAACTTAAACTGATTGAAAAAGATTGCTACTTTTCCGTTACGAGAGCCCATTTCTCATTTCATCCGCATTTCCGTTTTGAGGTCACAAATGTTATAGAGATATTACCGTTATGGAGGTATTGCCGTTATGGTGATATTACCACAAA